AAAAACTAAAAATGATATTTTTTAAAGAAAATATTTGAACCCTTGATTTTATTTTTCTTTAGATGACTATTATTTATGATGTAGAACTCCACTTTCTTTGGGGTATGGTGTAGAGCCAAGCCCGCGACATAGTAACTAGTACGGGCTTGGACACACCAAACAATTCTTTTGTCTTTTTGTATTGTGTGGTAGAGGTCTCGACTCCCTCGTTTTGCTCGTTTCGTCTTAATTTTCTTCTCAGTTAGTTTTTGCCCTTTTTAGAGCGCGGTTCTATTGTTGATCATTCGCTGCCGGTGATTTTCATTAACTTCTTTCATAGAAAATTGGTTATTAGTAATATTTGAGAAAATTGTTCTAAGGAACTCTTTTGAATTCACATATGTTTATATGCAAAATCAGGGAGCGACATGTGTCGAGGTCTACTCCACCTCAATTTGTGGTAAACAAGTTCAAATGGGAAAATGGGTGAGAGTGTGGGTTCCATGAAATTACAAATTACGAGAGATCCGCCTCTTGGGTTCGTTTTGTAATCCGTCTTTGTCGGCTTGAGATTTGCTTAAAACCAAAAAAAAAGAAAAAAGAAGTTTGAAATGTCCCATCAAATCAAATAGAGTTTTGGAAAATCTTTAGAAAAATAAATTAACTATGAAGGCAAATAGAAATATAAATAAAGGATGAAGTTTATGAAAACAAAATAAAGCTTCTCATCAAATCCTCTTTTGGAAAGCATTTTCAATAACAAAAATATCCATGATGGCTCTAAAATTAATTTCCAACGCCCATGATAAATTTCAAAAATAAAAAAAATGTAGAGATCTTGAAGATCTATGAACACTTATTTTTATCTGCAATGGATGATCTAGATAATTTGTTACGCTTTGTACTACTTTTAGAGCTTGAAATCCTAATTTTTTTTCACAACCGTTATGCTCAAGCCGAGATGATCAATGTAAAGGTTTTCCAATGCTTGAATTACAATTTTTGATGAATTATAAGGTGAGGCTTTACCTATTTTAATAGCCTTTCAAACCATTTTCCATAAATAAAACAACTTACCTAGTGTAAGCCTAGCACTTGGAGATGGGACCAAGATCAGAACTTGAAAGATAGGATTAGCCCCTGCCTTAATCCTTGAAATTTACTAGAAGCAGAGATAGAGTTGAACATGAACTTGAAGAGGGACTTGTGCTAATTGAGACCTAGGGCAACCTGGGACTTGGACTTCTGCTTGATTGGGCTTAGGTTATTAGGTTACTAGGAACTTAGAGACCTCTAGGTCTCCTGCAATCATTTGTGTGAAGCAGTGAAGCTTAATCTGTAAATTTTATATCACATTAAACCCTAAGGGAAAGGTTCATATAGAGCCGAGGCTTTAAATAATCAAATTTGAGCCTACTTCAAATTGATCATCTTGACATCAATCAAGATGCATGTACATGAGGAAAAAGTGGATTTCAAGTTTTGGAAATAGTGTATTTTGCAACGCTTTTTCAACCGTCAATTTTTTAGATTTTAAGTTGTCATAAATATGTCTATCTACACTATTTTTGAAGCTTTAAACTTTATAAATAAATATGAAAATATATTTTAAGGGTATTACAAAGAGTTCCAGTATTGAAACCACATTTTTTGATACTATTTGAAGTAGACTCTAATTTGATTGTTTAGAGGCTAGGCTCTATGCAAACCGCACCTAAAGCCTAATCTTCATATTGTAGAGCTTCTAAGCATGTTATCAATTAAGTATTTCAAGGCTTTGAGATTTCAAAACTTCCAGCTTCCAATAAATTAGAATTTTTGGTTTCCAGGACATCCCCAACTTCCTGTTACCAATTGTGCCCCCAAAACTACAATCGAAATTTCAAAGAGCTTGCAGCTTTTAGGGCCCCAAATAGGGGGTGCCCACTTTCTCCTTGTGGCAAATGTGGAAACTAACAAGACAGATCTTGCTTTCGGCCATTTAAAATGGCCTTTTATATATCACATCTACACTATCAAACTAGAATACACAACGTAATTTATTGCAACTCTGGTTTTACATTGGACAAGTATAAATAATCGGAACTCTGGTTCAACATTCTACAAGCAAGATCACCGCTTAATACAAACTTTTTCCTTTCCTTTTCGCTGTTAAGAGTGTCCAATAGCTATTTTAAAAAGGAAAAGTGTTGTATTTTTGGTCCCCAAGAGGAATATAACATCCATCTTAGAGATGGATGTGTATGGTCCTCCCATAAAAAGTTAAAACCAAAATGATATGTTATGTGGGGATGCTTCAGAATATACGTGGTTCGTCACATATGTGACTACATATACGTGTACAACAAACTAAAATTTACTATATCAATGAAAATTACATCATAGATTTTAGGACATAGAGTTACCTCTCTAACCATCGACAAAACCTAGTTGAAGCAACTCTTTTAGCCATGCTCTCCCGACCAGTACCATTCATCTCTATTCCATAACTAGATCACTGTCCAGGAAGAGAACCTTTAGAACAACCAAGGTTTTCTCTAACTAAGAGGAGAAATCACTGAAATCTCCACGAGAACCACTTCTCTACAAGAAACCAGCCTCTCACTCTGTAGGAAGTTCTTTCCATACAAAGTTTTCTTCTCTCAATGTTTCTTTCCATAGGAAGTTCTCTTCTCTTTAAGAGGAGGCCTTGCCTCTCATGCACAGGAAGCCCTTATCTCTCCTTTTAAAGAAAGCTATATTTCCTATATGATGACCTAAATAGGGCATACATGTTCTTTCTTTTTTTATCTCATATATATAACGTTAGGAATCCACTCTAAATAAGAACTTTCATATATATGTTACATATATCTCAAAAACCAAGAGATATATCCAAGAGTCCCAATCCTTTTGGATTTTATTTTCTTTAAGAAACTTATCAATATCAATCCCAATCCCACATAATATGGGATTTATTTATGTGGGTGATTTTGAATATCACCATATCTAACAATCTCAACCTTGATATCAAAATCACATGTTCACCATGCCAATATTCATTGGATAACTTTATAAATTCTTCATATTTTGTCAAATAAACTCATTCATCGTTCTTGGTGAAAAATAGTGCTTGATATCAAATTACTCCACCTTGAACCTTACATTCAAAACCTTTACTGCCATACCGACAACCCAACCCAATATCTGAAACTACTTGTTATGCGCAAAAGCTCCAGAATTTACGTGGTTTATCTTAGATATGACTACATCTATGGGCACGGTAAACTGACATCTACTATACCAATGAAAGTTATATAATAGATTTTAAGACATAGAGTTACTTCTCTAACCCTCGACAAAACCTAGTTGAGTTTGCCCTCTCTCATCTCTATTCCATAACTAAACTACTATTCAAGAAGAAAACCTTGAGAGCAACCAATGCTTTCTTTAACTAAAAGGAGAAGCCACCCAAAATCTCCATGTGAACTGCTTCTCTATAAGAAACTAACCTCTCACTTTGCATGAGACACCTTCTCAATGTTTCTCTCCATATGAAACTCTCTTTTTTCTACGGGGAGGACGGGGAGGCCTTGCCTCTCATGCATAGGAAGCCCATGCCTCTCTCTCTAGAGAAAGCTACATTTCCCATATGGTAACCCAAATAAGGCATACAGTCTTTTATTTTTCATACCATATATTAGGTTAAGAATCCATACTAACTAAGAAACTTCCTATAGATGTTACATATATCTAAAAAACTAAGAGATATACTAAAAAATTCTAATCCTTTTAAATTTCTATTTTATTTAGGAAACTTTATCATTATTAATCCCAATCCCACATAAGGGATTTCCTTATGTGGTTGATTTTGGATACCACCATGTCCAATATGGTCTATATGTTTTCCTTATGAAATTATCATCTTTAATTTTTAAAATTTATTTATTTTGATCAAAGAGACCCGAGAGTATGTCAACACAAAATTAGAACTTTGGAGGGATGCTCTAGAATCTAAAGGTTTTAAAATTAGACGAATTAAGTTAGAGTATATAGAATGCAAGTTTAGTAATAATAGGAGTAGATATGAAGAAGTTGTTACAATTGACGACCAAGAAGTAACAGAAGGAACGCACTTTCGATATCTTAGGTCAATAATCTAGAAAAATAGAGAGATTAAGATGTCGCACATAAACTTAGAGTTGGGTGGGCGAAGTGGCGATGTACAACTAAAGTTTACGTGATTGGCGTATACCAATGAAGTTGAAGGGCAAGTTCTATAGGACATATATGAGACCAACTTTATTTTATGGTGTGGAATGTTGGGGGCTTTAGAAACAAGATACCCATAAAATTAGTGTAACTAAGATAAAGATGTTTAGATGAATGAGTGGCAAAACAATAAGGGATAGAATTAGACATGAATACATTTAGGAGAATTTAACTGTGGCACCAATTAACAATAAGATAAGATAAAGTAGACTTAGGTGGACTAGCCATATGTAGCGTATAACCAGTACAACATCGGGAGGAGCGAGTTAGTTCCAGTGGAAGGTTAAAAAAAGGCAAGAGGCACGGCCAGAAGGATATGGTTAGATGTAGTGAGAAAAAATACGAGGATTTATCGCCTCACATAAAGTATGCCCCTGGATAAGGCACAATGACAGACTATAATTTATGTAGCTAACTATAATTAGTTGGAAAAAGGCTACAATGATGGTGATGATTTATTTTTAAATATACATGATCTCCATGATTACATATGCCATAGAATTTAAAGTCCTAAATCCATCTAAAAAAATAGATTTTTAAGAGGGGACTCATTTCTACATGTGAGTCCTAGGATTCACATAATCCTTGTACTTATAAAAATTTGAGGGTTCTTTGTACCCTTTTTTCTCAGGTCCCATCCGGTAACAGAAAAAAACCCCACTCACACGCCAGGGGCACAAGCGTCATTTCTAAGGTTGGCCAGTCCATTCTTCTCTATCAATTACACCCACTTGGATAATTTTGATAATGTTAAGGTTATTTTGTGTCAGATTCTCATAACAATGTCCACCTACTCATTAGAGCACGCCTGTTATTCTGTACGGAACTCGTTTTAGGGTAGTTAGAGAATAGCCGTTGGTGCTCAATCCTCCATTTTCAGAGCCATTTTAGGTGAGAATTTATTTGTTAATTTTTACTCTTCACGTCTAAAACCAAATTTTAGGGTTTCTATGTCTCGTTTCCTGCTACATTTTAACAAGAACGAGTCTTTAAGAGTTTTCTGCGACTCTCAGGTGCAGATCATAGCACGCTCGAATTGGGTCTCTGATTCCAAGTTCTTGAGTTTTTTTTTGTTTTTTTTTAATCTCTTTCTCTTTGTTTACCATATATCTGGTTTTTATGTTTTTCTGGTTTATTTGTTTTATTTTCGTGCTTTAGCATCTCCTCTGCATCTGCTTTTTATTAGTTCATTTTTCTGTTATTCTTATAGATTTTTTTGTTTTTTAGTTTCAAAGATCAGGTTTTCCTACACCATTTGACTTAATTTTTTGTGGAAACTCTGCTAATTGTGGCCATTTCTTCGGGGATCCAAGTTCCTTTTATGTTCTGCTCTTAAGAACCGTTGCGTTATCTTATAATAATCATGGATTCGTTCAAAATACGTTTTATTTTTATTATTTTCATAGAAAAATCACTTTCTTTGGAGGCCTGATTGTGTTTTGTTCTTGTGTGTTAAAATTTGAGATTTTTACATTTATGGGTTTTTCTTGTAAGTATTTGACTTTTCTTCATTTGTAGACGGAAGTGTTTAATTTGCGTTCTGGTTATTGTTTTTCCTAATGATTTTATCCTTGGTAGCTATAAGATTCGGTTTTCTAATTTTAAGGATCTGTTGCTTCAGCTCAAATCTGCATTTCTTTATTTAATTTGGCCGATTTGAAATTAAGTGTTAGTTTTTAATATCCAGAGATCAATATCGTCCATTAGTTTTCATTTCCATTATTTTTCTCTTTTATATTTTTTTTTTCTGATACGTCCTTCATTTATTTTTATTTTTTTTTTTCTTTTTTTTTTTGCCTTCTTTGCTTTACATATCTGCTTTTTGTCTTTTCCCATTCTTTTCCTGACTGTATTTTACTTGTTGTTTTTGGCCAAATAATCTGGTTGCTTTTCTGAATTTTACTAATATGGTGCTCTTTTTATGGTTGTCACAGTTTAACCTTAAATTCCACATGTACGTTTCAGAAATGTGTTTATAAATTATTAAACATGCTTATTATGTTCTTCTCAGTGTTCAAAGACTCCGCTAAGCCCACTTGGACTCGGCTAAGTTACTCGATGGCCTAGGCGAGTCCAGAGAGCAACTCACCCTTGTTAATATTTTTTAAAAAATAATAATTTTGTTAAAAATCACTAATATATGACTTAGAAATACATTTTTACATGATTTATGTGGTTTTTTATGATGACTTGGGAACGTTTCTTATTACGTGCTCCAATTTCTTATTTTCCTTTTTTTTAAAAAATATTTCAAGGTATAAATCAAAAAATTCAATAATCCATCTCTTATGTACTTTTTCCATCTTTTTGTAGACTTTAAATGATTTCTATTACTTATTTTAATTTTTTCTGATTTTTAATTATTATTAAAGATACATTTTACTTTTTTCTTTGAGCTTTTCGGCATATTTTGTCCTTGTACAGAACTTGGTGAGTTACTTGGCCTGGGCGAGGGCTGACTATGAGGCCCAAGCCCAAGCCAAGTATCAAAACATTGGTTTTTATTGGTAAATCACACATAATCAGCTGCAATGAAGTAAATAAATGAGATATAGCTAGGAATTGATAGTTCGCTTTTGCTTATTGATCTTCCAAATTTATATTACATTTATTATAGTTTTCTTTAAAATGTCTGCCTCTTTCTCTTTTATCAGTTGCTTTTTATGGCATGTATTTCATTTCCTTTGGGATGCATTTGTAGGAAAACAATTAAATAATGGCGAGGAAGAAGATCAGAGAGTATGATTCGAAACGCTTACTAAAAGAACATCTTAAGAGGCTTTCTGGCATAGATTTGGACATCAGATCTGCACAGGTGTACATTGGCAAGAGATTGTTATTATTGTTATTTCATCTTACAATATTACAATGACATTTAACTTCCTTTTATAATAAAAGATTTTGATATTTGTATGATAGTGCCGCTAAAGATCCTGAAGAAAACATGGAAGATTACACCTAGTTGAGGTTCTTTCTTTCCCTTTCAAAACTACCATTAGATGTAGAAATAGGAAAAAAAAAAATAGTTTGAATTTACAATAATAAATACAAATGCACCCTTCTGGTACATATTAAAAACTATTTACCGTCAGGTGAGGTTTGAAAGTTAGTTTACTTCATATGCCCTTTTGTTTACTTCATATGCACTTTTGCTAAATCTCTCGATTTTGAAACCTCTTTGTTAATGCAGTACTTGTTTGTCTGATTATTTCTTGGGTTGCATGCTGCGTGTTTGGCACCCATGAATTTGGTGGTTCAATGGGCATGCAGTTTCTAAAATATATGAGGCTACATTTTGTGAGGTCTTACTTTCACCACAGATTAATTTATGCTTAGGACAGATGTAGTTATGGATAATTTTTGCATGATGATTAAGTAAATAGTTTTGAAGGGAAACCGATTTTGTGCCAAACAAATCTAGGCCATGCACTTTCAATATTCATAACCTGATACTTTTTAACTGGTGTGAGACAAAAGACTTTAGCTTCTTGCTACCTGTTGTATTCAAATCACTACATAGTAATATATTCATCAAACAATCAGGAGGCATATCTACTATACTCCCACACAAGGTGGAGTGTCATGCGCTATTTCTTCATTGCTTTTAACTTTCAAGATCTCCCTAGGCAATATTATTGTATGTAGTCACAATGCATAGGTAGTGTTGAAGCTACCTGCTCAAAACAAGAGAGAAAAGGAAAGGAAACCTTGAAGCTCTCCCATGCAATTCATGTTGACTAATGTTCAAGCTTCTTGAAGCTCTCAATCTCATGAAAATCATAGCCTTTTATAGTAATATCATGGACAGAGACACCTAGGAGAGATACCAAAGTGGTAATCAAGCCTACTCTATGTCTTCTTCTAATTCCATTCACTTCCAAGTGAGAGTTAGACCACTCAAACCACATACATATCTTGTTCCTTACCAGAAATGCCTTGATCATTCTGAATTCATATTTTATTCTAATGTGCTCCTTGAAGCCTTTATAATGTTTGCAATTACTCACTTAGTTTCTGTATTTCGTTCTGATGCATACACCTCCACCAGGCATTTGAACTTATATACCTTTGTTTGTTTCAAGCATCCGTTTATTTTGGGGAGATCGACTCTGAGTTCCAACTCCATCCCTATAGGCTCTATGTCATTTTTCTTGCGTGCAGTGCAGGGAGTAGGTTAACGTCCTTCCACAATCACATAGATCCTTCGTCAGAGTTCCACTAGTCTGTCCAGTTGGATGGACTTGGAATGCCGCCCTGTCTCCCTCATCAAGTCCTTCTCACACCTATTAGTACCTTGTTTGGGTTAGCTCCTGCTTGCACACAACTTTTCTTGGGTCTGGATTTGCTCCCAGTCTACTAGTTTTTGTTAGACTATATAATCTTACAGATATGCACGAGGTAATTCTGGATATTTATCTCCATATATTAAGATTGTACTACTATGTTAGATCATAAGGATATAGTATCATAATTTATACCCTGAGATATCATTGGGTTTAGCTGAAGTTTCTTTGGCTCCCATGTATGTTGGGTGAGAATGAGTACTGGCTAGCCTTTGTGTTCATTATTGGTTTCTATACTCAAGAAGTCGCTATTTGATCATGTCCTTCCACATATCATGAGCATCAGGGTAATAAGAAATAATATCACTGGGTTTTGTTCCCCCAGTGGCTTGCACCATTGTAGGGGCATGTGGGGGCAAATGGTTATGTACCTCAGCTATGAGATTTTACACTTCTTGTTCCTGACCCACTTGAGGTGGTTTCACTTGGGACACCTGCTTTGAGTCCTCTTGCAGTTTGTAGGAATTTTTATACATTGGCAGCACACATAATCACTTCAGAATTTTATATAAAACGAAGGTTAATTTGGAAATCCATCAGGCATGCTTGCTTTCTCCTTTCATTGATATAATACATAAAACAAGCTTCTTTTAGGTTAATCCTGTACACCTTGAGATAGAGTATGTATGGTTCTCTCCCAAGCTGGACTTTGCATACCTTTGGGCTAAGGCCACGATCCCACCTTAGGAACTTGATTACACAGTTCCTCCAAGGGATCTTAGAGGGAGCTGGGTTTGGAGAAATAGGGATTTTACTCCCTATAAGATGAGATCTCAGTCTACATACCTGTAGGATACCTCCAAGGAGATGAGCTATACTTTTAATTGAACTATAACGCCTCCCTTTGGTATTATGGATTTATTTCTTTTGAAGATGTTAAACTGTGGTGCATATCACATTGTGGAGCTCAAATCCCTCCAAGTCAAAATCTCAATCCTAGTCACAAGGGATCTCGCTCTCAGGTATCCTAGGATCTAGCTCCTTAACTTGTTGAATGTATGGGCATCGATCATAACCCTAGGGAGCTTCCACCCTATAGCGGTTAGGCGTTCCCCAAACTGATCCCAGTCCCGAACTCGCTCCTGCCTCCAACAACTATGGGACTTAGGAGAGGTCCCATTTGTTTGTAATTCTACATGTTTGTATTTGGGAGTTTTGCAGTTAGAGGATTTTGAATCTGGTGTTTTTCTGTTTTCTTTGCCCTAGGGTCTTCCAGGTCACTAACTTTGTAAAGAATTTCAATGCATGGTGCTGGTTTGATGTATTGTGACACTCACTCAATTTCTTGCTATTTATTTATGGGGAACTACGCTATTTCTTGCAATTTCTTTATGAGAAAGTATGCTAGAATCTGATTGATTATGGAGAACTGCATTCCATTGGATCATCACTATACATTGAAATACTGGAAAGTTAAAAGGAGAGAGTGGGAGCCACCAAAACGTACATGACCCCCATGGTGGGGCTCCTCTCTCTTCTCAACATCCATCATTTCAAGGGTGGGACTTGGTTTATACGTAATCTGTTGGTTTCCAGTATACTTTATTTTTATTTATTGCCAAAAGATATGCCGCTTCCATGGGAGGACACTGCCCATTTGCTCCCTTGGGTAAATCTTAAGCTAGAAATAGGACCATAAATTTTGGGGATGTGACCTCTTGAGTCGTAGCTATCAACCTCAAATAAATAAATAAATAAATATCAAATTGCATGTTTTATGTGTCGGAAAATAATAACGTCCCGAGTATGAAAAGGGAACATCCAATTTTCGGAGGACATGATCTAGGTGTTGAAGAACTAAAAATCTATTTTTTTATTTGAAAATTGCCATATTGTTATTCTTAGTTAGATCCCAAAACCTTAAATTCACCAACCAAAATCTACCAAAATATCTTTTTCACTCGAGAGAGCTAAAGTACAGTATTCGCGCTCCCGTGGGAGCATGCTATACACACTTTTATGCATTATTTTATTGATTCCTTAGTTGAAAGAGGCTGTATCTGTTTTTATAAGATTTAAAATTTACAGAATATAAGTTCAACAGATCTCCATCATTTTGATCCATTGCATGAATTCGAGAAAAGGGTCGTATTTCAAGGATAGCATTCCAGATTTAATTGTTATTTAGCTTGTGTGATACATAGATGTTATACATTGATTTGTTGGTTCTTACCAGTGCGATCATATGGTTCTTTACTTAGTGATTTATCTCCAGTAAGAAATTGGAAAAATGTGACTCTGACCATTTGATTGGACCTGTTACTAGAGTACATCAATGGTGGAACATATAGAAATGTTTGAGACCCTAGTTATATCATCAGACTTCTCCATCTAATATTCATGTTTGAGACCTAATTTTTGTGATATATATTTATACATACATACATACATATGTATACTATATATTCCAGAGTTTTTGTTGATTTATTGCCTTAGCTCCAAGTTCATCAGCAATAGTATGAACGAAATTGTTTCAGATTGCTGTTATTAATGACTCTAGAAGTCAATGAGTCATTTAGCACATGAAAGATTTGTTCTTTATTGCCACACGTTCAACTTTACACATCATGTGACCCTCTACTTTCTTATGCTCTAAGGACATTAAACAATCTTTGAAATCCTTCTTTCCTCTTGAGATTAACATAGAGTTCAATTTGGGGATTCACCACTAATTTTGACCTGGAGATGTGCTCTTTTGTTTTGAATGGCCTAGGTAACTGAATCTACAGATTTCAATGAGTTAGCAGACAAAGAACCATGGCTTTCTTCAGGGAAACTGGTCGTTAAGCCTGATATGTTGTTTGGGAAGCGGGGGAAGAGTGGTTTAGTTGCATTGAACCTAGATCTTGCCCAAGTTGCTTCATTCGTGAAAGAGCGTCTGGGGAAAGAGGTGTGAAATGTGATACTTCATTAGGGTTGGATTTACCTTGGATTAAAAGTTGCATTTAATGTGTAGTTTGCTCATGCTGTAATCGATTTACAATTATATCTTCTGTTCAAATTGAATTTAATGGGATTTGTTTCTTCTCTATGTTCCTTTTGCAGGTAGAGATGGGAGGATGCAACGCACCCATAACAACATTCATTGTTGAACCCTTCATTCCCCATGATGAGGAGTTTTATCTTTCAATTGTTTCAGAACGACTTGGATCCACTCTAAGCTTCTCAGATTGTGGAGGAATTGAAATTGAAGACAACTGGGATAAGGTAACTGTGGTGTTTAAGCTGTAGGTACTGCTTTCACATGTAGCTACTGCTTTCACTTGCTTTTCTTTTTACTCATTGTCCCATTTGCTGAAATTGCATTTATTTATACTTATTCCTGAAATTCATTTATTTAGACTTATTGCTGTAACTGCATTTATACTTTCAGAGCTGGAATCCTTTTCTGGTCACTCAAATGTACATTGCATTGTAGATAACATAAAATGCATTGCTAAATTGTTCAATACACACTCTGAAGTTTGGAGCATCTTTACTCCATATCATGCTGTCTATTCATCTGAGTTGTATGTGTTATAACACCGTTCTACAGGTGAAGACTACAACTATCCCAACTGAGGCTTCCTTTACGTCAGAGCTTTGTGCTCCGCTGGTAGCAACCCTTCCATTAGAGGTAATTGCTGTGCTGTCTATGGACTTGTATAGATGCATTATATCACTATTTGTGTATGTATGAGAGATAGAAAGATAGATAGATAGATAGAGAGAGTGAGAGAGAGAGAGAGATTTTGGGTATGCTCAGTATTGTTTGCAGCCAGATTATTGTCTCGAACTTCTTGTACGTTTGTCTTCTCCCAGTTGCTTTTCAAGCCTTTCTTCTTTTTGTTGTATGCATATACTTCATTGTCTGGATTTATAATGGTATTGTTACGACTTTATTTTATTTCCTTTCCAACAAAAGGCTGACAAGTTGATACCTAGTTATGGGTATCGATTTTTACCATCTTGAACAATTATGACAATCTTAAGTTTCTTGAACCATGTCTAATTCATGTGAGTGCTTCTGCTTCTACAAAATTCTACTTGTTCAGATACGCGGTACAATTGAGGACTTCATAAAAGCAGTTTATGCTTTGTTTTTAGGTATGTCAGTTTTGTTTCGAGAACCTATTTTTAGTGCAGTCAATGCTTGCTTCTAAGCTATACATGGTTAACTGATGAGTAACCTGGCCCTTATTTCCCATTGTAGATCTGGACTTCACCTTCCTAGAGATGAATCCCTTCACGCTTGTTAATGGCAAGCCTTATCCTCTAGACATGAGGGGAGAATTGGACGATACTGCTGCTTTCAAGAACTTCAAAAAGTAAAGAGAGAGAGAGAGAGAGATTCATCATGCTGCCCATTTACATAAACATGACAGCCTTAATCGCGTGTTTGAAAAGCTGCCAACTTTTCTCACAATCTTTTATTTTCCTTATTTTTATGCAGGTGGGGAAAAATTGAATTCCCACTACCTTTTGGACGAGTTATGAGTCATACTGAAAGCTTCGTTCATGGCTTGGATGAAAAGGTCAAATATTGTTTCTGCATTAGAGAAACTGGAGTTGTCGAGTTATAAGCAGACTGAATTTTTTACGGCTTTTATTTACCACTTGCAGACAAGTGCTTCTCTCAAATTTACAGTTCTGAATCCGCAAGGGCGAATTTGGACCATGGTTGCCGGTGGTGGTGCAAGTGTCATATATGCCGATACGGTGAGGCTCGAAGCTTCTTGTTTGTATATATATGACTCTCTGTGTGTGTATGTAGAGAGAGAGATAGAGTGAGAGAGTGAGCCTTGAAGCTTTGTGTTTGTATGTATGTGACTATTTCTTTTTGTGTGTTGACAGAGAGAGAGATTTCTTTCTCATTTACCTTGGAATAAGAATTATTAGGAAAATATTTTTTCTCATCTTTGTAGCTTATGTTTGTATTGCATGGGTGGAAATCCATATCTTCAGGTTGGAGATCTGGGTTATGCTTCGGAACTTGGGAATTATGCAGAGTACAGTGGAGCTCCAAATGAAGATGAGGTCTTGCAGTATGCCAGAGTTGTACTGGATGTAAGTTCTTTGTGTGGTATTTTATTTTATAGAATTAATACATTGTAGGAATTTCCTTGTACTTCTCACTATTAACTATTTATTTTAATGTAATGTAATATATTGCAATTGGCATAAAACATCATTCAATCTTCTGAATGGATTCAAATATTACTCTTAACTGTTAAAATCTGAGTAGTGTACAAAAGATGTTTGATATTGAAGATCGAATAAAGGTGCTCCATTTGCTTAAGTTTCTAAGGACTGCAGAGAATGTGACCTCAACTGGGTTGGGAGGACCTAAAATCTCAGTAGAACACACACACAGTGTCACACCATAAATAAGAGATGTGGAAACCTGAAGGCTGATTTAGATCAGTGTCAATGCAAGCATTGTTAATGTTGATGTAGAAGATCTTGAAATGTTCTCTAACGAAACACAGTCTACCTTTTAAAAACAGTTGGGAAACTTGAGTATGATTAGACTAGGAGTCAGAGAGAGAGAGGGAGAGAGAGAGAGAGAGAGAGAGAGAGAGAGATAAGAGAGAGAGAGGGT